TGGTGATGCCCTTTATGTCCGGCGGTTCACTACAGTCGATTATCTCGTCTTGTTTTCCCGACGGCTTATCCGAGCAATGCATCGTGGTTGTCCTCAAGGAAACCCTCAATGCATTATCGTATCTTCACAATCGGGGCCATTTGCATAGAGATATCAAAGCTGGCAACATCTTGATGGACTCGAACGGGTGCGTTAAGCTGGCGGATTTCGGGGTTTCGGCTTCGATCTACGAGTCGTGTTCGGGTTACGGATCCGGTTCGTCGACGTCGTCGTCGATGATGCTCAGCGACATGACCGGTACTCCGTATTGGATGGCCCCGGAGGTGATTCACTCTCATACAGGGTATAGTTACAAGGCCGATATATGGTCCTTCGGTATAACCGCGCTCGAATTAGCCCATGGGAGGCCACCGTTGTCCCATTTACCTCCTTCGAAATCCTTGATCATGAAGATCACCAAGCGTTTCCGGTTCTCGGATTACGAAAACAGCCGCGACAAGCACAAGAAGATCTCGAAAGCGTTCAAGGACATGGTCGCGTCGTGTCTCGATCAAGATCCGTCGAGGCGACCCTTGACGGACAAGCTTCTGAGACACCCTTTCTTCAAGAGTTGCAAAGGGAACGAGTTTCTAGTCAAGCATGTGTTGCATGGATTGCCTAGCGTTGAAGAAAGGTTTAGGGTCAGCAAGATTCACACCAAGTGTACCATTGATGATGACATTGGAGTAGAAACAGGGTCCGAGCTTGTTAAACAAAGGAGGATTAGCGGGTGGAATTTCAACGAAGACGTGTTCGAGCTCGACCCGGTGTTCCCCAGCCAGTCGTCGGTTGACGACTCCGTTGTGAAACAGGTTCGTTTCGGCGGCGAAACCATTATTTCGGAGAGGGTACTATCCGAATCGAGCAGCTTCAACTTGAACTCACCGGAGGGGCAATCGAGCTTGGTTAGTACACCGCCGAGCGAAGAACAACAACAACCACCCGAGAACACGGTCAACGCGGAGACGATGGTGGGGGGACTAATGACATTGAAGAAGAGCTTGGATGACCAAGGCAGAAGGTGACTGATTTGATCAACATGTTTGGGGGTGAAGTGATCAACAAGGAAGATCAAATGATGCAATTGATTGAGAAACTGAGGCTGGAACTGGAGGCTGAAAGGCAAAAGAACTTTGAATTGGAGATGGAACTGGAGTCCCTCAAGTTTCAGGTTTCAGGTGCATCAAACACAGATGACAGCATTAATGATTGAACAACTTCGGACAAAATTACAGCCTAGTTTTTGATGTTGTTTTTGTTCTTGATTGCTTGGAACCTGTTCTTTGTCTGGTTTTAGTGTTATCACATGGCATGTATGAAGTTGGAATTGAGAGATTATGGGATGTTTTAGTTACATTCTTTATGTTTTTAATTCTTTGTTGCTTTATACTTTTAATATTCAACTAAGACCCAAAAGTTGAAAAGTGGGTCATTGGTTCATAGGCCACTCTAATGAATTTCATAAGATAAATTATATTTTCTAAAAAAATATTTCTTGGAACTCATTTTTATGGTGTCTAGATGATGTGTAATTCATTTTTTACTTGTTGGCAAATTTGTTAGAAATTATTTATTATAAACATCAAATACAATAAATAATATTATTTATTGAAAAAAATAATATTATTATTTTTAAAATATTTAATTTTTTATGAAATTAATAAATGATATTAATTTGATTAATAATTTATCATATATTATTAAAATAAAAATACAACATTATATATAGAATAATAAAATTATTAAATATTTTAAATACACCCCTTAAAATATAGTATAATAATTTTATTTTACTATTATTATTTTATTATTAGTAATATTATTTTAATAAGTAATTAATATAATTAATAATATATTATTTTTATTGATAAAATTATAGATATAATATTTTAATAATAATATCGACATAAATAACATTACAATAATTATTCTATAACTATAACAATAAAAATATATAATATTATAGTATTAGAATTATCAATAAATATACTTTAATAACTAATTTTAAAAATTATAAATTAGTTGATCATATTCCCATATGTAATAGGGTAAGGGGGAGGTAGGATAGTAGGCTGCCCCCAACGCCAGGTTGAGAGCAGCTTCTGTAGAAGACCTATGGCAGTCAGAATTATGAATTGCCCACCATGGGACTCGATCCCACGACTACAAGGTTAAGAGCCTTGTGCTTTTACCAACTGAGTTGGATGGGCAATTCAAGTATTTTTATTAAAATGATACTAAAAGAATATAATAATAATAATAATAATAATAATAATAATAATAATAATAATAATAATGATAATGATAATATTTTGAGTGTTTATACTTTGAAGGAAAAAATCGTATAAAATGCAAAGTAAATTCATTTGACCAGGAATATGAATTACATTAACCACTTGTTTTCTACCTACCGAACAATGGAAAATGAAAAAAAAAACATTTTCTAAAAAATCAATTACATTAAAACAAATAGACTCTAATTTTTCTTTCTCCTCATTAACATCATAACCATCGACTCTTTATCTGAATCAAAATGAGTTTTGTCCCATTTAAATTGCCTTTTATCGGTTTTTTCTAGATAATTTTTTTAATTTTTGATTTATTATTTAAAATTTATTATTGATAAAAATATGAACAAATATATTTTAGAAACCTTTAATCAAGTAATTTTAAAATATATATTTAATAAAACCTTTGACTTTGAAACAATAAGAGACATTTGTAATTGGACTTTTTATTATTTATTTGTGGTTAATTATTTTTTAATCGTTTTTATTGTTATTATCAATTAAGAAAATCAATAATTCAACTGATCTGATCGTAGATTCGATTATTACATATATATATATATATATATATATATATATATATATATATATATTACTTTGATGGGTTATGTAATATGTTTGTCATGGTGGATAAAACATGAATAGTACAAAATGTTTGTACTGTTCCACCATCGGAAATTGGAACCTTCCATCAAATTAACAATAGCGAATTCAACGTTCAGCGAATAGTTTGTAAATCGCTTAGCAAAAAGTTTGTTCATGTTCGTAATTTATTAAACGAACGGATATGAACGAGATTTTATGTTTGTTTAATTAAATGGACAAACGCAAATAAAGGCTCGTTCGTTCATTTACGTTCAGTAATCCGTTCATTTATATTCATTTGTTTATGTTTATTTATTAATGTTCGTCTATATTCAACCCAATCTCCAGTCTCAAAATATTTTTAGAATAGTAAGACCTAACAAATTTTAACCTTAAACTCATTAATATTTTAAACCCCAATCAATTTCAAACCCAAATAAACTAAAGAAAATATAAACCCGAAAATTATTTGGAAAGAAAAAGAAAACACTTATTAAATATAAACTCAATTAATTTTATGCTCCTTCGTTCATTTTCGTTCGTTTATCCTTTGAACAAACGAACACGAACGAGATATATTTCTTAATCAACGAATACGAACAACAGCCCTAAAACTTATCGTTGGCGTGTTCTCGTAGTCTAGAACCCTAATACTTAGTTAAACTGCAACGACATGTGCCAGTCATAATTTCGTTTTGCAGATATAATTATGCACTTGAAATCTAAAATTATTATGAGTGGAAGAGACGGTAACCTGTTCACATACACTGTGGGTAAACACTGCAATATCGGGTGTATGACCTAATAAAACCTACAGCCATTTTCAGCAAGGCAAGGGGATGAGGGATCAGCTAATTGGCTGCTGGTTCCTTCGATAAATCTCCAGCTAAATGAGGCAGTATCTTTTGTTTAAACCGGTTTTCTCTGTTGAGAATTCATCTCTTTCATCTCAAGAAACAAGGAAAAAAGAATCGATGGGTGCACTGAGATTACCCTACGTTTGAGATAAATCAAAGCTTTTCTGATTGACATGAAATCTGCAGCCATTAGCTCCGTTTTCAACATGCAAAGCAAAGGCGGAACAAAAGTTTCTCCTTTTCGTAGGGTTGAATATTCTATCTAAGTACGATCATAGCAGGTGGCTTAAGTGATAAAGAATTATTGTCCATTAGTCATGCTATTCGTGAACAACTTACTGTTGAATTTACATTGGAGAGGCTTAAGTCAAGTGTTTGGGAGACTGGGAAAATTTTATTTTGAGAAAAAATATTTGTGAGAGTATTAAAAATTTAAAAAAAATAATTAAAAAACGATTTTTATTAAAAAAATAAAATAAAAAAACAAATTAAATAAAATGTAAAGGTAAAGGATTACATTGAACAACAATAAATTTATCAGGGTTTCAAATCGTGGTCGCGGTCGCGTTATCGGTTATTTCGGATTTACCGTGATTGTGGCCGTCTTGGGCACTATTACGGTCGCGGACCGTTTTTTAAAACCCTGAAATTTATTGTAAAAAGTAGGTATTTAAGTTACATAGATATTTGCACGAACCAACTTATCTTAGAGGTTAAAGAAATCATTGTTGTTCCTAAATTACGAGTTCAAGCACCATCGTCTGTTAATTGAGCGTTCATTGTCAAGTAATTGATATTATTTAGAGCATATATTATTTTGTAATCAAGGATAAGTATTTTAGTTAGTCGAGTTGATCAATCATATTTTATCATTTAAACCTTGTTTAAAGATTTTCCAAATCAAATATATAAAATTGGAGCCGGTTTTTTTGAGCTGAATCTAATTTAATTTTGCTCTTGCTTTACCTCTATATATAGTGGCCAAACGTAAACATGGATATTTTCCAATATGATTTTCACCTTCTGGATCAGAGAATTTCATGGCCTGTTCAATTTCTCGTAACTTTAATCACCTTCTTCTCCGATATCGAGAAACCAAACCCCATTTCATCGCCATATAATCTCAGATACCAGCAACTGAGAAATAGGGTTCTTTTCTTTTCTTCATAAACCGATTTCATATCATCTTAGCCTATCTTGTTTTCCCCTTTCGATCTTCACTTAGTTACCAATGGAGAACGGTTTCATCAACAGTCTGAGAGACAAAGGCGACAACCTTAAGAATTCTTCATGGAACTGTAATAAGAATCTAAGTGGGTTTCCATGGCCGCCAAGATCTTACACTTGTAGTTTCTGCAAGAGGGAATTAAGGTCGGCTCAGGCTTTGGGTGGGCACATGAATGTTCATAGGGGAGAGAGAGCTAGGTTATTAAGAAACTCACCTCCTCCTTTTCTCAGCTCTAACCCTAACCCTAATTTCTCGTATTCTTCTTCATCTTCACAGTCTTACGGTTTCCCTAGTGAAATGAAGAAATGGCGTGGCGACGGTGGCTTCGCCGGTCCTCGAAGTTCGAGGGGCTCGGGTTCGACTTATATGAAGGGTGCAGGATCGTGTTTCAGAGTCGAAGAATTCAACGGTGATGGTTGCAGCGATAAGTTGATGAAGAATTCGAAGTTGAAGATGATGAATGCGATCGTTATTAGTGATTTCGATGAAGATTTGGACTTGGAACTTCGATTGGGATGCTCTTAAATACTTTTAAGAACATTATAAATTTATGTGTATTAATGCTTTAAACGTTCACGTTTCAATAACAATGGTTCCAATCAAATTTATTAATGAAATCGTCACCTCCACGTATTGAACCAATTTTTTTACCTGCATGACCTATTGGACCAATATAAATATAATTATGTTGTTAGAGATATGGACCGTCAAATTCACTTCCCTACAGCAAACATTAACAAATGTTGGCCCAATTCGACCCAGCATTAACTGCTTTTGTCCCTCTTTCGGCTTATCTTATTAAAAAAAAGGCTAAGAAAAACTTGCATGGCTAATTATTAGTTAATTATTAATTGGATTATTGAGATGAAATATTAAATGTTTTAAATAATATTAATTTTTAAAGTTTAATGTTGTGAATAAAGTAAATACGATTAAGAGAATCGTTATTAATAATTAATTGGTCTAGTAGGTGGAAACATTAAATTCCTTAAGGTTAAGGGTTTAAATTATGGTTGGGACTTGGGAGGGTCGCCTCCGTAATAGACTTTTGTAAAATATGATCTAGATAAATCAACAATAGATTAAATATCAATAATTAATTAAAATTTTAAGAGAATTGTCTTTATATTAAATCTCTATTGTACTTTATTCATATTTATTAATTAATATATCGAATATCAATAGTTATAAAATATCTGAGCTATTAATGATAAATGACCTATAGGTTGCAAGGAAAGATAATTTAATGGGATTGTTGAACGATTAACTCATGTTAATTCGATGATATGACACATTAATAAAATATATTAATATCTAGTTTGATCTCTAGACTTTAAATAAAATATCATTTAAACCTTAAATTCAACCTATCACGTCGATATTTAGGTCTGTAAATGAACCAAACGTTCAATAAACCGTTTGTTGCGAAGTTCGTTTATGTTCGTTTATTTATTAAACAAACAAACATCAAGAAGATTTTGTGTTCATTTACGTTCGTGAACGTTTGTTCATTTATGTTCGTTCGTTTATGTTCTCCAGACCCGTTTGAAATATAAAGAGAAAATACTCAAATAAAAAAAATACTCAAACCAATTAAAGAAAATATAAATCCTAAAATTATTTGAAAATAAAAAACTTTTCTCAAATAGAAACCCAATTAATTTTATGTTTGTTTATGTTCGTTCGTTTGTGTTCGTTTACGTTCGTTTATCATTTAAACAAGCAAACATGAACGAGCACAAACAAGCTAAATTTCTTAATGAACGGTCACAAACAAGAAATTTTGTTCGTTTAGTTGTCTGTGTTCCTTTGTTGGTTCGATTAAAGTTAAACAAACGAATATGGACATACTCTCATTCGTGTTATTTCAGTTCGTTTACAGGACGATCGACATTGGACATGGGCATGAACAATGTTAAAAGAATAAATCACGTTTCAGGACCATAAATTATGAAATGTTATGCTATAATCAAGTTAAGTAACCAAAATTCTTAGCTTTTTACAGCCAAAAAGCAAAACAAAAGATATTACCAAACAAGAATGCCCCCCACAATTGACTTTCTAAATCACGTCCCTAAAAGATAGCCTTTCTTTCCCCATCGTGGACAATATATTGTCTTGACACCCTAATTTCAATATGTTGTAAGGACATAGTTTAAAAGTCTTTTTGTTCATTGTATCTGCCAAAATTGTTTCATTCGTCAAAATTATATCATTTTACGAATGAAACAACTTTCTTTAACAATGAGATGATTATCGGTAAGTTGATAAATTAAATATATTTGAATTTTTTTTTAATAATAATGATCTTCATTATTGATGTCAGACGTAGAAACATGATAAACACGTTAAATATATTTGATTATTAGATAATAGATCGTACGCCATGTGAGATTGCCATATATCATGCATAAGGGCTGTTAATTGCTCGAAAGATGTGATATTCTGAAGATTTTGAGAAACTTCGGAAGTTTCATGCTAAGTAGGTGGAGGAGCGACAATAGAGATGTTTCTTCCTGAAGAAATTCGATTGAGATATAATAAATGATGATAAATTATAAAATATACAATAATTTAAGAAATAGAAATTTGTAAAAAAAATATATAAAAAAGATTATAAAATTATGGATAAATTTAAACACTAATATGGATAAAAAAAGTTAAGTACCAATGTGTATAGAATAAACAAAATCAAGGACTAGACGAGGGATTAGGTATTCAAGCATGTTGGCAATTTAGAAGAAGAAAGGATAAACTACACATTTAGTATCTAAACTATTAGTGTTAGTATGTTTAAGTAATTAAGCTTTTAATTTTTTAAAATCATACATAACATTTAATTTTTTTTTATTTTAGTATCCGTCGTTAAAAACTTAACGCGTTAAGTACGTAAACTATCAGTTTTTGTACTTTTAGAACCTAAACTTTTAATTTTTTCAAAACTTAATTTCAAAATTTGAACATGTACTAAAATAAAATAAAAACTAAAGTTTTTAACGTTGGGTACTAAAATGAAGCAAAAACTAAACTTTAGATATGATTTTAAAAATAAGAAAGTTTAGGTATTAAAACTGATCAAAACTGATAGTTTAAATACTATATGTGTAGTTTATCCAAGAAAAAAATGAAAACGGAACGCAGGCTATCGCAAAAACAAACGTCCAATGGAATTAAAAGAATAAAAATTAAATACATTTCGTTCTTCTTTTGATTAAAATACATTTCCTTTTATATACAAGAAAGACTGCAGAGATTAGATTTGTTTTCGGCAAAACGATAAAAAGAAATTTAATTTAAAAACAAAAAAATAATTAAAACAAATCTTTTTGGGTAGGAGAAGGACGTTTTGGTTCAAAATGGCGTCTAAGTTCTCTTCATGTAAGAAAGTGGGCCCCCCTTCTTCTCCTCCTCCTCCTCCTCCTGAGCTTCTCACTCTGTCCCTTTCATTGAACCAACCAAAACCAGACACACACAAATTCTAAAGCAGTGTTCTTTCTTTTGTTTCTGGTGGTGTTGTTTTTTGTTTGAGCGGTTCAAAAGGAAAATGAAAAGCCTTCGCATTTACATTCACTTTTCTTTTCTTTTCTCGTGTTTTGGTTCAAGTGATTGAATTCGGAACGTTAAACAAAGGCTTATGCTTTGCATGTCATAGAAAATTCAAAAGATCTGAAAGGTGGTTCTTTTTTACTGGTTTCTGGGTTTTCTTTTTTGTTTCTGATTTATCAGACCAAACGGGTTGTTTTTGGTTTGGTGTGTTTGTTCTTATAAATTTCGTATTTTGGGGTGTTTTTTTTTATTGTTATAAATGTTTTCGACGGTACTAAGTTGTCTTCCCACAGCAGGCAATGAGAATTGAGGTTTGGATTTATGATGATGTCGTTGCGCAAGGGAGCTGTAATGTGTTTTCCAAATAGCTTGAAATCTGTATGAATAAATGGATTGAATTTATTTGGATGCAATGTTGAAGGCAATAGCTTCATGGTTGTTTATTTCTTCGCTTCTGTTATCGGCGTCCGCCGCAGCCGCCGGCTTTCCCGGGTGTAATTGCGACGACGAGGGGAGTTTCTGGAGCACCGAGGGCATCTTAGAGACTCAAAGAGTGAGCGATTTCTTGATCGCCGTCGCGTATTTCTCGATCCCCGTCGAGCTGCTTTACTTTGTTAGCTGTTCCAATGTGCCGTTCAAATGTGTTCTCTTCCAATTCATCGCCTTCATCGTGCTCTGCGGGTTGACTCACCTGCTCCATGGCTGGACCTACGGTCCACATCCGTTTCAACTCATGGTGGCTCTCACCGTGTTCAAGATTCTCACGGCGTTGGTCTCGTCCGCCACCGCCATTACGCTCATTACCCTCATTCCCTTGCTTCTCAAGGTCAAGGTGAGGGAGCTTATGCTGCGGAAAAAGGCTCGGGACCTCGGTCGGGAAGTCGGTGTGATAACGAAACAGAACAAGATCGGTGCACATGTCCGAATGCTAACTCAAGAAATCCGAAAATCGTTGGATCGACAGACCATCTTGTACACGACAATGGTGGAGTTGTCCAAGACATTATGTTTGCAGAATTGTGCTGTATGGATGCCTAATGGGATCAAGACCAAGATGAACTTGACACATGAACTCAAAGCAAGACGCCATTCATGTAATTTTTCAATTCCGACTTCGGATCCGGATGTCACGAGAATTAAACGAAGTGATGAAGTTAACATTCTTGATTCCGACTCGGTTCTCGCCACCGCTAGCAATGGAGAGTCTAATGAGCCAGGGTCAGTGGCTGCAATTCGAGTGCCAATGCCTCAAGTATTGGATTTCAAAGGGGAAACTCCGGAGGTAGTTCAGACATGCTATGCGATATTGGTTTGTGTTCTTCCGAGCGAACAAAATCGGTCATGGACCAACGAGGAATTAGAGATGGTTAAAGTCGTTGCCGATCAGGTGGCTGTGGCGCTCTCTCATGCCACCATTCTCGAAGAGTCTCAACTCATGAGGGATCAATTGGTCGAGCAAAATCGAGTGCTGCAATTGGCACGACAAAATGCTATGAGGGCAAGCCAAGTTAGCAATTCGTTTCAGAAGGTGATGAGTGATGGAATGAGGAGGCGAATGCACTCGGTTTTAGGCTTGCTTTCGATGATGCAGGACGAAAATCTGCATAACGATCAAAGTATTATCGTCAATTCAATGATAAAGACAAGTAACGTGCTATCGACATTGATAAATGACATGATGGATATTTCAACAATGGATAGTGGAAGATCCCTATTGGTGAAGAGAGCCCTTCGATTACATTCCATGATAAAAGAAGCCGCTTGTCTTGCCAAGTGCTTGGCTGTGTATAGGGGTTTCGGCTTTTCAATCGAGGTTGATAAATCCGTGCCCGATCTCGTTTATGGTGATGATAGGAGAGTTTTTCAGGTGATACTGCATATGGTTGGGAGCCTATTGGATGGCAACAGCGAAGGCAGAACCGTAGTACTTCGGATGGTCTCTGAGAACGGTAGTCAGGAACGGAAAGATCGTAGACGGGCTGCATGGAGGCACAGCTCTTTGGATGGAGATGTACATATCAGGTTCGAAATTAGGATCGAAAATAGCAACTCTCAATCAGAAGGCAGCTCAATTTCGGAGTTACAGATCAGTGGGAGAAAATACAAAAGCCATAGAGCCGAGGAACGGTTGAGCTTCAGCATTTGTCAAAAACTAGTGCAGGTAAGAATGCTAAACTGTTTGCCGAATCTGCATCCGTTTTTCGATCACTAGCTTATTGCATGCTCGTTATGTTATGTGATACTTGTGCTATATAATGCTCATGCTTGATGCTTGGATCTATTCCGAAACCGAGGTTGAATTTTGTTTAGAACGTTTTCCGCGGTCTATAGTTGTTATTAATAGCTTGCTAGGCTATAGGTGTTAATTGTTTCTACCGCCGATTAATGCAAGCCGGAAATTTGCTAGGTGACGATACAAAAGATGCTATGCTGCTCGACTAATTTTTTTTTCATGTTTTCGAACCAATGTGTAGCTGATGCATGGGAACATCTGGGTAGTACAAAATCCTCAAGGTTCTGCTCGGAGCATGGCACTCGTTATTCGGTTTCAAGTCCGACCATCCATCGGTATAACAATCAACGAGCCTGGAGAATCTTCAGACCAGCCGTGCTCCAACTCTCTTTTCAAAGGCTTGCAAGTTTTACTTGCCGACGAAGACGATGTGAACCGTGCCGTGACACGAAAACTTCTTGAGAAGTTGGGATGCAGTGTCTCCGCCGTGTCATCCGGGTTTGATTGCCTCAGCTCCATCGGGCCAGCCTCGTCTCCTTTCCAGATTGTCTTTTTGGAGCTTCAGATGTCCGGGCTAGATGGATACGAAGTTGCAATGAGAATCCGGAAATCCCGAAGCCGTAATTTTCCGTTGATCGTTGCCATGACCGCCAGCGCCGAAGAAGATATACTGGAAAAGTGCTCGCGGATCGGAATTAACGGAGTCATTCGGAAACCAGTGCTGTTACAAGAAATCGCCATCGAGCTCCGGAAAGTCTTGATGCAGGCCAACAAAGTTTAAGTCACCGAATCGCACCGTGCTTACTCGCATGCATCCAGATTCCGATCAAAACGGTACACAAAGTCGGCTCCCGTTTCGCCTATTCTCCCCGGATTAATGTGCTCGATTTCATGTTCGATCCACATAGATAGTTTTCCAGATCTAATCAAATTAACTCTCGTTAGAATCCTCAACAACACATCGCTCTTAACAAAAACAGATTACATTCACAGTACAAAGAACAAGATTAAATATTTAAATCTGCTCATATGTTACCATGATTCGGGTTTAGTATATTATACATCGTACTCATGCCTGAATATGTTAGCCCGATTCGAGTATTCGGATGCCGGATAAACAACCAAGTTTCTTCTAACATCTCGAATGAACCAACTTATTCGGAATCGGATCGGACCAGATATGAATATAAAATATTCGATACGAAAGCGACAAAAACTAGAAAAATCCAAGAATGCAGAACACCGTATTCACAAGATATGATGAATCAATGGCGGCTTTGAGAAAGTGGGGGAGAGAATGGGGCCATTTATGGCCATAGCTTCTGGTGGTGTTTTCTTTTGCTTTGCTTTCCAATCATGCCATTCCACGTGGATCATGTTCTTATCCTAGTAACCCTAGCCCCCTGATTATTCTCGCTCGAATGTGGGATATCATGGGTTACTTTACAAAATGAAAACCTTAAAATATTTTATAATAAATATTAATTTATGTAATTTAAAATTATACGGAATCTACGAGGCTTCATTTATTAAAATTCATCGTGAAAAATAATTAAAAATATTATCAAAATTTTCGTTTATAGCTTTTATCTATTATTTTTTCGAGAACCAAACGGAAAGTATATTCTTTGAATTAGATAATTTGCATTATATTGAAGCAAGTTGACGTATAGAATCATTTTGACATTTTCACCACCAAAAACAGGAATGGTCGCTTTTGCTCCCATCAACTTCCGCAGAATATAGGTATTGTTTTCATGCAAAAGACAATTTGGGGTAGCTTCATTTCCAACATCAACTTGATTTTACCCATGACCTATGTTTTTTATTTGGGTAAATTACTTGTTTAGTTTCTAAGCTATTATTTTCCCCCGTTTTAGTATCTAAACTTTCAATTTTTTTAAAATCATAACTAAAGTTTAGTTTTTGTTTTATTTTAGTATTCGTCTAAAGTTTAACGTTAAATTTTGATTTTTTTTGAAATTTTAGGTACTAAAACGGATCAGAGCTGATAATTTAGGTACTAATATGATAGGAATGAAAAAAGTGAAAATATTTTCACATAAATTTAGTCATCGAAATTGTTTTTGTATAATCTTGAACCCTAAAACCTAACTTAAAACCTAATTTAAAACCCTAAACCCTAAATGCTAAACCATAAATAGTAGTAAATATTTTAAATATATATACAATTAAACAACTTTGAATGTTAAATTGATATGAAAGTACGATACATGGAAAAACAATAAATTAGGTATACTATAAGGGCAAAAGCTTTATAATTAAACTTTCTATTCTTATCTATTTTTAAAGTTTTTTTATGTTTAAAATCTAATCTTTTATCCATATTAAAAGGGATAAGTCGAGAATAACCGATCAATTCATCAATATATGTTCATAATTTTTTAACTTATTGACAACTCAGTCACACACACCCTCAAAAAATAACAGTTCGAACTCAAAATATTTTTAAAAAAACATAGTATTTCTTTTATCATTGATATCCTCGATGAATTTAATTCATCAATATCGAAACATATATAATAAATCTGAGTGGTACATAATGTCACAACTTGTTTCAATATTAATTGACCAAAACATCAAGTTGGGGGAATATGATTTTGTACTATTGATGGGGAAAAGGTGGAGAGCCAGGGGCTCTGGACCTTACCATTCCCAACTAAAATACAAATGGTTTTGTTCTGAATGTAGGCATACCACAAAATGATAGGGCAAAAGCTGTACTACCCGTTAAATAATTACTTTGAATTTTGCATTAGGTGCTGGTGGTACCATTTTCTTGTGAGGAAATTTTAGATCTTATCCAGGCACATGTACTTGTTTATTTTTTATTTACTTTTTAGTACAAAAAATTATAATCTCAAGACTCAACATAAAAAGAATATAAAAATATAAGGCTTAATTATAAAAACAAGTGCCTAAACTATAGTACTTTTTATAAATAGGTGTCTAAACTTTTTTTTGAATGATTCAGGTGTCTAACGTTGCAAACGCTACCACTTTAGGTGATCGGCCTGTAAATGGTGTTAATTTTCTCCGTTAAGTGACATGTTTCACATTCAGATAATTTTAAAAGATTATTTAAAATTAAAAAAATTATAATACACGCACAAATTTCGAAATAACACTAAGACTTTGAAAACCTTCATTTCAACCTTTAAACCCACGCCGACCGCCGCCCTTTGCCGTCAACAAAGCTCCACCCGACCTCACCTCCCCCCGGCGACCAATAACCCCATGAAATCGCGACCAATCGATGACGAATCGACGTTTTGTACCCTGCGAATCCTAGGCTAAAAATCACTCCCCACATGATCTTGATGGTCCATCAGCAACAACTATGTCGATATATAACTAGAAAAATGGTAGAAACTACATTGATGGTGGTGATGTGGCCATAAGGTCGACAACGGTGGGTTAGGGTAATAGATTTAGGATTTTTAGGGATTTGGGTTTTTTGGTAATTTAAGAGAAATTAGTTTTTTTTATAAATATAATAATTTTTTTATTTTTTAAAAATAAAATTATCAAAATGTGAAACATTTCGCTTAACGAAGAAAATTAATGTCGTTTATGGGTAGGGCACCTAAAGTGGTAACATTTGTAAGCAGGGTCGTGGCTGGGTTTTCGGGGGCCATGTACAAATTCCTATAAATGGGCCCCTACTTTCTAGATATATTCGATTTTGGGGCAACAATAGTGGCATTTTTTTGACAAACGCCGCGATAGATCCATCTATAATGGCGTTTTATCAATAAAACCGCAATAATAGTGAAGTTTTTTTTAAAACATCGCAATATGTCCATTTATAGTGGCGTTTATTGGTAAAACACCAATATATATATTTTTTTGGGCCCATTTTTTGGGGGCCCTGCGCGGTCGCACAGTTCACGCCGCCTCAGCCACGACCCTGTTTGTAAAATTAAACACCTAGATATTCAAAAATTATTTTGAGCACCTATTTGTGAAAAATGCTATAGTTTGGGCCTTATTTGTCAAAAAAATAATAGTTTTTGAGTTAACTCAATTATGCATCTTTATATTATGATTTTTTAATTGATTTTTAAATTTTGTAGATTTTTAAATTCATTTTAAACTATCAATAAAATCGTTAAAAAAACTTTGTTAAATATCACATAATAACCTATATGTATTGCATAATGATACACATAGGTACTTCCATAAAATTTAATGTATTTTAACAAATATTGCATTATACTTGTCTCATATTAACAATGTTATACAATCCGAGAAAAAAACAAAATAAATTGATTTTTTATTAATAAACAATTTAGAGTAAAGAACTTGAATAATAACAAATTATCGATCTTGAATCTGGTTGAGGCCTGCAACTACATAGTTTCTTTAAGACAGATTTTAGGCCACTCCTTGGTGCTCGAGATATCTTGTCATCTGTCTCCCAATATACAACAACGATATGATCAACACATAGTAACACAATTTGCGAGATCACGAACCAAATCTTGCTAGAGGTTATCACCGAAAAAAGAGAAAAGAGAAGAGTTTTTGAATTGTGTTTAACCTAGTAGGATAGCACGATATTTATAGTGTTTCACAAAGGAGACGATAATTAATTAACACTGCATCATATCAAATATTTTCGTGAATTACAAGTCATATCATATTTAATATTTAAATTAAAAAGAAGTCACATAATATCCTTTTTAATTTAGAATATTAAAAAATATAACATTCACTTAAAGAAAAATATTTAATTGGTAGTGAGTAAAATACCCACAACCAAAACATTCACATCATCCTTATCATGTGAGATATCACAAGTCCTAATGGGCTTAAATTTGCACACTTTGTATTTTAACCTAAGTCATTCAAAGATTAGTAAGTTGGTTTATGTATATAAAACATTTCCTTGGTTGATATCCAACCAATGTGGGATATGAGTTTTTCATTTTCCTTACACAACACAATTCACATGCACCCTACTTAGAGTATCAATTTCTCATTCATCACTCAGTCGTTTTGAGCATATTAGATACCGTTGTAAAGATCTCACGTAATAGAATACGAATCAGTAAATTTATTATTTGATTCTCCATCTTTACACCTAAAAAATATGTTCCAAATTTTCAATTTATCACATTTTTTCCAACAAACAAAAAAAATGAAAATTAAACGTTTAAGGGTTTAAAAATCTTATCTATATGTACATGAATAAAATTTGGAGTTTGCTAATATTTATGAATAAATTTATGAAATGTTTTATATAAATAAATATATATGAGGGTCCTTGCCCATAAATAAATAAATAAAATTTGGAGTTTGCTGTCTCCATGTGGGCGTAATTATTTATTTATTACCAAACATCACGGCTAGGATCTAGGGGATATGTTTACAGTGAAAAAATATTAAAAATAAAACTTATTTTTTTAACTTTAAAATTATGATTAAGATAATGACAAATTAATACAAAATAAAAACATTTGGATATATACTTTAAAATATTTGACCCTAATATGTCAATATTTTAGTTATTTTAAAGGGTAAATTACGTTTTAGTACCTAAACTATCTATTTTGGCTTGTTTTAATACCTTTAACTTTTATATTTTTTTTTCAAAATCATACTTAAAGTTTAGTTTTTATTTCATTTTAGTACTCCGCCGTTAAATTATTTTAGTTTTTGTTTCATTTTAGTACCCCATTCAAAATTTAACGTCAAATTTAAAAAAAAATGGAAGTTTCGGTACTAAGACGGACCAAAATCGATAGTTTAGGTATTAAACGCGTTAAGTTTTTAATGACGAAGTATTAAAATAAAATGAAAACTAAACATGAGGTATGGTTTTGATTTTTTTTAAAAGTTTAGATACTAAAACTAATATTTTATGTACTAAATGCGTAGTTTACCCTATTTTAAATTGCTTAATTGGACCAAAGGAGGATGTTAGCATCCTAAGTCCACGTGGGCCATGAAGTTTCTCATATATGGGCTTTGTTTCCATTAGAGGGGAAAAACCCTCCAAATAAACATGTTCATTTACTAATTATAATTAAGTATAAGCTATATCAAGGGTCATTTAATATATTAGAGATGTCCCCGTAATGAACCTCTACGACATATAAATTATTCGTTCAATAGATCATATAAAAATTTGACTCTTTGTTTATAGATTAGTTGTTTAAGGTGTGAAATAATAAAAAATAACGAGACGATTTTGAATATTAAAAGTTATAACATTGAACGCTGACATTCTTGACATTCCTGATGCTCAAATCCAAGACCTCAAAAATAACAGCAATTCCTTTGCCAGTGAGGTCATTCGATTCATTCCATGGTTACATTTTTTTTAATAACCTAGGGTAAGTACAAGGGCATTAGCTGTTCGAAGATAATTCTTAACCTTTCAACATTGAACGCTCACACCTCTGGCATTTATGATGCTTAAACTCAAATCTTTCGAAATAACAACAATTCATTTACCATTGATGTCATTTGGTTCATACTATGATTACCTTTTGAATATTCATAATAGACGTTTACGGAATTTCATTAGTTCATGTAACTACAAATAGAAACAGCCAAAAGCCTTATTATATAATTATTATAATAGTGAAAAGAGTAAATTATGTATTTAGTACTTAAATTATCAGTTTTGATCCGTTTTAGCACTTAAACTTTCAATTTTTAGAACCATACATAAAATTTAATTTTTGTTTCATTTTAGTACACCGTTCAAAGTTAACTTTAAATTTTGATTCTTTTTAAAGTTTAGGTACTGAAAAAAGATAAAAACTGATAGTCTATGTACTAAACGTGTTAAATTTTTAACGGCTGGATACTGAAACGAAACAAAAATTAAACACTATATGATTTTCGAAAAATTTAAGATCAAAATTGATAATTTATATACTAACACGTAATTTACCCGAGTTAAAATTACAATTTGTTTTCTAGAGCCGGCAATAAAGCCCCACTTTGTGTCCGTATTCGCTTCATTGTTGACAAATTCAAATTAAAGATGATGAGTTGTCCTTTTGATTAATTAATTAATCACAATCTTTAGCATAATTCTTGTATTATGGTATAATTCTTATTATCTTTTGTGCATTTTTTACTTACATCTCAATATTATCATTAAAATTGAAAAAATATAAAAAAATGAATATATATATATATAAAAAATATACACAAAATAAAAACTAATCTAAAATATAAAGATACTATTATATATGAAGCCTTTTTGAAATGAGAAAAATGTGGGATTTAATTATTTCAAAGTTGCTAATGTTTGAACATTGAATGAAGACATATATGCATAACATTCTATTAAAAAATAGGGTAAATTACACAAATGATCACTTATGTTTGTATTTGTTTACTTTTGGTCACTAATTTTAAAAAAACATAAGATATGGTCATTTTCATTTTTACCAAATTAATATATGGTCACCTTCCTTTTTACTTAATTAATATATGGTCATCTTCGTTTTTATTTAATTAAGATGTGATTATCACGGGTTAACTGATGTTAACAATTAACAGAATATTTGACATGATAGTTGGTATAATCATACATTTGGTCCATGTTATTTACATATTCTCTCAATTTAGTCATATGTTTAAATAAGTTTTAACATAATATATATATAATTAAAAATAAAAAAATATTTTTCAATTAAGTTAATAATAAATTACATTTAATAAGTTAATTTTTAGAAAATATTTTTTTAAGTTATATAAAAAATATTATGAATTTAAGTATTTATATACTAAGATACAAAATATATACATCATGTTGTCTACTTTAGACCAAACAATGATCTTGACATGACAAGTGGCATGACATGTGACATCACTCGATTGTATGATTAAATTTATTTTAAATTTTTAAAAAGTAGGACTAGATTAAGAGAATATGTAAATTACATGGATCAAATATGTAATTATATCAAAATATTAACTCGGTGACTACATCTTAATTAAATAAAAACGAAAGTGACTACATCTTATGTTTTTTGAAATCAGTGACTAAAAGTGGACAAAACACAAACATAAATGAGCATCGTGTAGTTAACCTATAAAATTAAACATGCGACAGTTTATATATATATATAGCTTTTTTTATTTTATAATAGTTTTAAATTAAAATTATTTAAATATAAATGGCATATAATATATACAACTAAATGGTCATTAATTAATAGGTGAATTTTTGAAGTCAAAGCTAACTGCTGGTGAACTGGAGCACTTAATATTATATTTACAAAAATATTATATAAAATGTGTAATTATCAGTGCTAATATTCAAATTTGCTGAAATATTGGAAAGCTGCACAATTTCTAATTAATTATATTCAACGCTGTATTTTCAACTTCCTACTTGGCATCTTTGAATTATAAAATATATTATTTTTTATTAAAATATTGGTCGTTTAAGAAACTTATACAAATATTGGTAATAATAAATTTAATAATACATGTTTACCATGCAAGCCATTAATTAATTAACATTTGACCCTCAAAATTTATTTTCTGTTTGCTGTTATGGATTATGTTGCTGATGTTGTTTAATTTATTTTCAACAACTTTTACATTTTATCATTATTACTGATAAAATAAATAATGGGTAAATTAATTTATTAGATCTAAACAATAAACGAATTTATGTGTAGTTAAAGTGATTGTATCCGTTGATTATACATGAAAATAAACCAAGCAAAGAAATTAAACAATCATTAACATTAGACAATCCTCCCAACTATAACTATTGGAGTGGTTCTAGTGATTAAAGGGAATTTTGTTCTCCTTTAATAACCCGAGTTTAAGTACCGTAGTCTGCACGCACGAGTTTAGATAGGTCTTTTTGGAATGGCATAATGTCAATAATAGCCTCAACGTTTATCAAAATGATCATTTTTGCTTTTATTCTTTTTTTTGGGAGCATTTTGCCCCTCATACTTTTCACTTTGGTGGGAAAAACCCTCCATAAATGGAAACTAATAGTTAACACACGATTAACGCTTTAAAATATGAGATTTTTTAACCTAAAATGAAATGTTGAGGACTAAAAGGCTCTAAAAAAATAATAAGGGTCAAATTGATTATTCTGTCAAATGTTAATGACCATTAATTTTGTCCTAAAATGAAACATTGGGGGCTAAAATACTCCCAAAAAATAGAACAGGGGTAAAATAACTATTTTAGTAAATGTTGGTCCACATTGGTGTCTAAACTTCGATTCTAACCCATTTTTCATCTTTTTAATCATATGAATCTCATAATATCACATCATCATAACTAAAAGAATTCAAGGACCAAATAAACATAAATTACCAAATTCAGGACTACAAAATAACTCCTTCCCAAATTAAATTAGGTTAAAAAACTTTGGGTCGTGGCTCCAAAAGGATGACGTGTACTCCACGACAAAGGGAATTGGTGCCATTCAATCTCAGCATCAAACATGGACTTCTCTTCAATGCTGTTTGCTACTACGCCAAGATTTAAACCTTATATTAGGTTTAATCATTTAATTAAAACATTAAAATATTTTGGTGGTCCACATTTCATTAATGCAAAAGACTTAATTAGTGGATCCTTTTAATTTAGAATAAGCTATAATTTGGCTAAAATAAGCTCACCCTCCCAATGTGTGTGCGCCAACATTTGGAAAGGCTAATGGAACAAAAAGGATAATATATTTGTTTTAATTGTTTTTACCCTCCTGGTTCTTAAGGTTTCGCCTTGATTAATCTGAGCTGACTCGGGTTACACACATGATTTTAGTGGGTGAGTCTTTTAGCAGGGATTTTCTGCATACAAAAGAATTTAAACTCGAGACTTGTTTAAACGATATGAAGTTACTTACTACTTAAATCAACCGTTGGTGTTTTAATTGGTTGTTTGGGTTAGAGATTAATTAATTTAATAGTGTAATTATTGCATAAAAAACGGGTCCATTTGATGTTGTGACTTTAGTGTTGGAATGATGTGCCCAAGTTGTTAAAATTATGGTAACTTTTTTCATTAGGGATTATTAAGTGTAGGGGTGTTCAGATCCAATCCGATCTAAAAATAATCGAAAACCGAAATAAATTTAGTGTGTTTGGTTTCTTTTTACAAACCGATCGGTTCGGTTCGGTTTCGGTTTGAAAATCCAGAACCGATCCAAACCGAACTAACCCGATGAAATGAAATATTGAATTTACAAGCTTGAACAAACCCATCAAAAGCCCCCACAAAATCTCACAAAACCTAGATACAGATACAGATTCAACTTTCCTCGACACGCACATAACAATTTTGCTCCAGATTCTAGTCATCGATGCCAATGAAAAAAAATGGTGCAATAAATGATAATATCAAAGAAGGATAGTATAGTCTTTTGGTATTTCCTCAGTTCTAAGGAAGAGAAAAATTATCGGGCAAAACTTAAAAAATGTGTCGTTTTACTTTTATGGGTGACTTACTGACGAGAAACTGATTCGTTTCTTGATTTGTTAAAATATATATTCTCTTTGTAAGCTTCACAAGCTTACATTTGTTAAAATATATATTATCTTTGCTTTTTTCATACATATGATGTTTTTTTATGAAAAAAAAATCAAGAATTATTTTGAAAAATTAGAATTCAAAAACCGCACAAATCCAAACCGAATCAAGCCGCACTTTATTGGATCGGATCGGATTTTTTTAGAAACATCTAAACCGATCCAAACCGCAAACATTTATTCTTTCGAGTCGGATGAATTTTTAGCCAAAAACCAATCCAAACCGACCACGAACACCCCTAATTAAGTGTGACATGTGAATTCATGCGAAGAAGGGCCTTCATGTTGTTTTTGACTTGTTTTTATGTACACCCTTATATGATCATTTGATTGTGTTAATAGGATATTATCTTAAATTTTTTTGATTAGAGTCTTTTTTTTTATTTTGATGTATGCATTAGGTGAAATATAAAAATTATTTCATGTATTGGCAATTGAAAAATTATATTTTATAAGTGGAATTTCAACGTTGTCATGTCTCTTGTTCAGGGTTTATGTTAAGATTTAATACACATAATATGTTGTTAGATTAAAAACCTTACAAAAAAAAATTAGTGTGATAAAATATCGATCAAGAAAAAAGAGTACAACACATATTTACGTCTCTTCAGGACAACGTCGCTTAAGATATTTGAATCTTCGCAGTTTAATCTCGAATACAATCTTCAAGTGTTGGAGTAGACAATGCAACGACGAAAAGGTCTTCTAAATTACCACTTGAGCATTTTCATTGAATATTTATATTAATATTCTTCTAAAGATCTAAAGGTTAAAGCACTTAGATAATACCTATATATATATATATATATACACACACACACAAATCCTTTACTACTCCACTTGTATTCATTCATTGAATAATACTTTTATAAATATATTTTATTCCACTTATATATTTTATTCCACATATATTCACAAGGTTTCTTGAAGATGGAAAGGAATAAGTTAAATCAATATTATATATATTTCATAAAAAAATTCTACAACGCTCACCGAATATCGCTGAGTACCATTAATTTAATTTATAAAAATTTAAAATTATAAAGGACTCAACATATAATTATAAATTAGTAAAAAATTTAAAGATAAATTAATTAAATAAAATTGTTTATTATATTATTTTACATAATCTTTTTTGGGTAAAATATAACAGTGACCACCTAACTATTGCATTAAACTATTTAAATGAATTTTGACCACCATTTTTTATTTTTTTTCAATCAGGTCATTAAGCTATTTTTGAAAAATAATATAATAAATATTTTATTTTAACTAATATACTTTTAAAATTTTAACTAAGTTATAATTATGAGTTGAGTCCCTTAGAATTTTAAATTTCTATAAATTAAATTGATAGTGCTCATTATTAGTGGTGTTTCGAGCACCATATAAATTAAATTAGTAGTGCTCATTATTAATGGTGCTCAGCGATGCTTGTTGATTGTGACAGAATCATCCTATTTTATATGATTGTTGAATTTCATAGCTTAATACTCGCTTTATACGCAAAGACTTTGCTTATTAATTCACTTTAGACAATAATTTATTGAACAGATCACCCATACATATTTGGAATTATTTGTAATATGTGACCTAATCATTAATTTTCAAACAAAAACTTAAATAATAAAATATTATACATCAAATTAAATGAGGTTATCTCATCAATTAATTATATGTTAATTTGAATATCACGTGTTTAATTTTTTTATTAAATTAAGGTGATTACAAAGTAGTATATGTTTTAAATACTCTCAACTATTTGACAACGAATGCTCAATCACCTTGCTATAATCGTTGGTGTTCGAACCCGTAATCTTTAGAAACAATAACGATTTCTTTAACCACTAAGATAAAGTTGGTTCACACTACGTGTTTAAAAATAATTCGTATAAATTTCGAGCTGTCGTATAATATCAAAGTTGTAAGTTAATTAAAATGATTCAAGAGCCATGCTGAAGGATGGGAAAGGAATGGTCTAATTATTAAATAAGAAAAATGACAAAGACAAAAGAGCCATACTCCCGATGGAAGGCATGTGAGGCTATTAAAGAGTCATTACAAAAAAAATGTTTTTAGCGATGTTTTTTAGTTTTGTAGTAATGTTTTTAAACGTCGTTAAAAATCTTCTCGACAAAAATAAAAACAAAGGCATCTTAAGAAACGCCGCTGAAAGTGACATATATATCAAGCTTGATGCAGTGGAAAAACAAATACAGAGATGAGGATGTTTTAAGGTAAAACCCTTTTTTTGGTATAAAACTTAAACCCTAAATAATATAGATGGTATAGATGTAATCTGTTTATAATTTTTTTCACCGAATAAACAATTTGAAAAAAAAAGTTTCTAATATCAAATTTTATGTATTATTGCAAGCACAAAAGCATAGGGAAAGAGAGTTTAATATACAATGAAAATCACTCATAGTTGTTTATCTTTAAATCTCTCTATCTTTAAAAAAAGATTGCACAAACCCTAAATTAAGCCTCGCTCTCTGGTGTATATGGAAGATGGTACTTCCAATTTACTAGTAAGGTGGTCTCCCATGCGCCCAAGCATAGGGTTCATGCCCTAGTTGCCCTCCATTGGGGAGTAGGTTAGGGGGCAAGTTGTATATTGGAAGTGAAGATGGATCCGGCATGCCCGTGTGTGGGCCGCCGCTACTTCCTATTGCTGGCGGTGAATCGGTTCCTCCGCCGCCTTGGATCTGTCCTCCCTGACCGGCGCCGACGACTTCTTCCTCGTCTTCTAACGGCAATCTTTCGTAGGTTGCGTTGGAAAACGTAGCTGCGATGACCATAACCGGACCGGCTGCGATAAGTGAACCTACAACGCTTCCTCCAACGACTTGTCCTTGACCGCCAGCTAGGTATACGGTGAGCCCCGTCGAGCCGGGAGGAGCCGGTCCGGGGAGAAAGGCCCCGGTTAGAGACAAAATTTCAAACCTTCCATGAAGAGCAACCACCGAGCTGGGTGCTTCCGGTTGTCTTAGGGTAACGTTTGCAACCGATCCGCTGCCGCTAAGCACGCAAACCCCGCGTTGTCGTCTCCGAGCAAATTGTGCTATGCTTTCGGCTACATCGGTACCGCTCGCCACTTCCATGACATGACTACGGAGCGCATTGGGGCTGTCCCTGGTCACGAAAATAGGCGGTTTAGGCTTGTTTTTGGAGCCCGGAGGACGGCCTCGAGGTCTTCGATTACCGATCTCGACCGCTCCTTCTCTAGGCTCGTCGCCGGTGTCTCTATCTTCATCATCACCTCCTCTATTTTTGCTTGCGTCGTTCATGGAGATTTCGAGGTCACGTTTGCTCAAGGCTGGTGAGTTGCCTGCCGGCTCCATGCCCGGCAGACTTACCTGATTAGCCCACCAAGGATTCGCCAGCGTTACGAAAATCGAATTCAACAAACAAAGAAGAACACAATCACATAAACTGGGAATCAAAGTTTGAGATCAGAGAGAGAAATTCAACAAGAAGAAAAATAGGGTTTGAAGCATAAAACAAAGCTGTAGGGAAAAAAAGAGAATTAGATGCAAATCTCAAACTGGGAATCAAGTAAAACTAGAAGAGAACCAAATTAAGCTGTGTAATGATGATGAATCAAAAAGATCAACGACCCAGAATTTGTTTGATTGAAATCAAAGAACCCTTGATAGCACCAAACACAAAGAAAGAGAGACTAGAGAGAGAGAGAAAAGGAAAGAGGAAAGAGAAAGAATAAACTAAAGCAGTGAGGTATATTAAAAATTTGCAGTATTTAAAAGAAGAGGAGGAGAAAAAGAAAACAAGATTATTACAAAAACTTAAGACAATATTGGATCAAATGTTCTTTTCTTCCTGTCTCGGTTGAAAACTATGTTGTGTTTTCATTTGGGGTGCTATTAGGGTTTTTTTCCCCTTCATATCAATAGATTTAAACTCAATCAAATTGATTATTTAATTAAATCAAATAGTAAACAATAAACTTACCGGTGAATGAATTATTTTTGGTTGCCCTCCAATTTCAAGGCATCACCATGACTAATCCGGACTAACTCGGGTCGTACACATAGTTTTGGTGGGTGAGTCTTCCAACGGATTTTTTTTGCATACATAAGGACTCGAACTTGAGGCATTACTTAAGCGATATCAAGCTTCTTATCACTTGAGGTCATGGGTTTGAGCACCAGGAATATCAGGGTGTGAACGTTCAATCTCAAATAGCTGATAGTTATCTTTGAGCATATACCGCATTGCACTTACCCCATAAATAAAAATAATAATAAAGAATTTAAAGTCTCTTAAATGAAATTTAAAATGGTAATAGATCCAACTATATAAGAACAAAAAATGATAGTTTATAATTTTTTTAATAAATCCATTTTTATTATCTAAAGAAAAGTAGCAAGTTAATAAAATAAATGAAAAGTAGCAAGCTGATATTTTATAAATGATAATTGTATAGTCAATATATTATTTTAAATGGATAATATATTAAATATAAATGCTTATTTTTTAAAATATATTTAAACAAAGATTAATTAATGAATTGTTAGGTATTATATAAATACATTGACACAAAACCAATGTAACAGTTATTTAATGAATTGTTATTGTATAATATTTATTTATTAAATAAATAAATATTTGTATTTAATGCATTGTTATTACATAAGTATCTAGAATTAGAAATGATAATTCACCAAAATTTATTTTATATTTTTTAATATCGTGTTTTTATTATGTTCATATTATATTCAAGTCTTATCTATACTATATTTAGTCTTTGAATAATGGATGGCATAGGTTAATCACATACGAATTCAATCGCATAAAGATCGAAATATTTATTTTTTAGAATGGTAATAAATATTATTATAATCATGCTTTTCCTTTTTATATTTTATACAATATTTAAATAAAATATTTTAAAAATATTATTTAAATATCAAACATAAAACTGAGGTGTGCTTGGAAATTAGGGTTTCGTGGGTGTGGCGTGCGCGTGGGAAGGTGGGGTGCACACCGTTTTCTAAGGCAAGGAAGCAAACGAGAGTTTATAAAATAATAAGGGCTAATTACATATTTCGGACGGGTGGCCAACGGCAATCAGTATCGGAATCTCGAGAAAAGAAATACAATTTCGGACCCTAGAATGATATTGCTGTATACGGACCGACTCGACTTCTAAGAATTTTGGCTCTTCGACCACGGATAAACCAGAGCATCCTGCATACACAGCAGCAACAAAGATTCATTCAAGACATAATCATAATGTTCATGTCTAGCATGTAAACGAAAAGCAAGAAGAAAAACACGATTATGACTCTCTACTTCATCATGTATATCACCTGTTAACTGTAAAGAATTTATGCGTATTGGTAGTTAGTCAAACGAAATTCCGCTCGCTTTGCCATCGAATCATGTTATGTGCCAGTGGTGCGGGCCAGCTTAATATCCCATCCAGAGTTTCTTTCCAATCATGAGCCAACGGATGCATCGTATATCGCCAAATTCTTGACATAGGACATGAGATTAGTCCTCAGAGACAGTCTCAAACTTCTTGGCAACATCTGATACAAATCGTCTCGAGCTTCTTCACCGACCAAATGAGGGTACCGGAGCAACTTCTCGATGACGATTATTACGTTAGCATGGTGCAAGGCAAGAGCCGAACCTCCAATGGTGGATGTTGTAGCATATGAAGCTAACCTACTTTTAGGACCAAATTGAGCAGTACTCGACACACCACAGTTGGGTTGTCTGTGATTTCCATTCAGATGATCATTGAGTTGGGGCAAACAAAAGGGAGGAGAGCGATTCGGCCGTTCACTCTTCAGCCGTTCATTTGCAGCACTACAACAACCCGGAATCCGTCTACTTCGGTCATCACAATCAACGCTCCGATCATCATCAACATACCTCAAAGCTGAACTACTCAAACTAAGGCAATCAACGAAAAGTCCCCCGGGAGTAGTCCCACAAAGAAAACTGAAATCCTCCATCCTACTTAACAAAATTTCACCCTTCCACGATTCGATACCCCGATTCTTCGAACTCACTCCCCTTTTCTCCACCACACCGGCTGATCACTCCCAACACTACTACTTTTACTAAGAGCCCGTTTCGACTGCCTAGAAACGACCTCGACTCGATCTGAAAACCACCCGATCCTCCCACGTTCACCATCTTTCCCCAAAGCAGAATCACCAAAAACAGCAAGAATCCTAGCAAAAACAGTGCAAACAGTCCTAGCCAACAGCTCGACAACCTTATCGAGTGTCTGGTTCCAAAGTGACACATACTTAAGATGCCTAACATCTTGTCTCTGCCAAATCAATTTCTGCTCGAAAGCTCTCTTACTTCCTCATGTGGGTTCGCTTGAAACTTCTTAGTACTCTGTTTCAATTCATTCAGGACCCTCCATTACACTATACAACGTAGCAGTCAAATTGACATACCTCTCCAGTTTTCTTACCATCCCCTCCATGTCTTTAACTAGAAACCGCAATTCCCTAACATCGATAACCCCATTCATAATATCTCCAAAAACATGTTCGAAGCCTTGCAGAGCCGGTTCGTTGCATTTTTTGCCTAGTCTAGACACAACATTGGCAGCCCTGTTCAATTCATCTAGTTTCTCAGCTAAAGCGAGTGAAAGAAGGTAATCTTCGTCGGATGAGATTAACTTTGAAATGTCTGGGGATTTCAAGATCTCGGATTTGAGCTTTGAGATCTCGGGTTCCGACAGGATTTGTGGAATTGAACGGTTCTGGATATGACACTGGCGACTTCAAAAGACAAGATTCCGATTGTTTCGTGTTTTTGGATGTCGGGTGGGTTTGGGTGTTCTTCTTTCTGGAGATGTGATCGAGGAGGAAGGCGTGTTTGAGATTTGAACTTACCTGGTTTCCCATTTTGAGTATCCAAATTTCTTCTACCATTGTTGAAGAATCTTTGAGCTGCTGTGAATAAAGATTCAGACTTTGGGGTTTCAAGAGGTTCGAACAAAGGAATTTCGTTTGAGAATTCAAAATGGGGTGTTTTTGCAAACAGAAGAATTGAAGGAAAAGGATAAGACTTTGCTCTTTTAAGTTTCATTCAAAATGGAGTCTTGATAGTATTTACTTAGGTCTGCCATGGTCAACTTTATCTACTAAAACGAATCAAAAATTAATAGTTTAGTTATTATTTATTTAAAAAATTAATAATATTGAGTTATTAGAAAGTAGTATCCGTTTAAAATCTAATCTAGTTATTAATAAGGGTAAAGTATAGTAATGGTCACTGAACATTTTTGAAGCTTGCATTTTGGTCCCTTAACTTTTAAAACTTGCAATACAGTCCCCCAACATTTAATCCACTTGCAATATGGTCCCGCACCTATGAAAATTAGGGTAAATTATATAAATGGTCACTAAACTTTTCAGACACTTGAATTTAGGTCCCCTAACTTTTTAAAACTTACAAAACAATTCTCAATTTCATTCTAAACCCCAAATTCCAAAGTAATTCAATTTCATTCTAAACCCTAAATTCCAAAATAATTCAATTACATTCTAAAACCCAAATTCTAAAATATTTCAATTTAAGGAGGAATATACTAGATTATCTTTAAGAACGTGATAGCGTTTTGATTTTTTTACTTTTGTGAAGAAAAAAAAACACTCCCTCCTCGTAAATGTAAATTTAGTGACCTTCAATAATTTAAATATAAAAAATGATTATGGAAGAAATTGAATAAAAAAAACACAATCTCTCAATGAAAAAATTAAGAATCAAAATCCCCAATTGACATCCTTATAATTTTTATTTATTTCAATTATAATTTAGTTTTTAATAGTTTGATGTGATTATAAGATAGTATTTATTCAATTTTTTTAATTTATTAATAATATAGATATACCCTACAAACACAATTGTTTGAATTTAAAACTTTTAAAGAAAATAATATTTTTTACCTATGAAACCACTTAACGAGTTATAATATAATTTTGTTAAGTGTATTAGAAAATTAAAAAATAGATCGTGCTAGAACTAAAAGAATACGTGACCATGAAATAAAAAGTTTACGTACGTTACGAAAATATGACATAAACCCCATCTCTTTTGAGTTGATTGTGTAACATCCCAAATTATGGGTTAGTGACCAAATTATAAAGTTTCAGAATTTGATGACTAAAGTAGAAGAATGAAATAGTTTAATGATTATTGGATATATATGATGAAGGTTATTTAGTAATTATTAAAGGAAATAAAGGGCAAAAAGGTCAATTGACCAAGAAATGAATTAAAATGGGATTGATAAGGATAAATACACGTGAAAAGGGAGAGAATTCTCCAGAGTGCTCTTCTCATTTCTTCTTCTTCTTTACGTGGAAGCCAAGAGCAAAGGTAAGTTTGATTTAGCTTTTGATTTCTTGAAAGTTTTAAGTTGGATTTGAGTCTTTGAGGGTTATATAAGCTTAAGGAAAACTTATATAAGTTTAAAACACCAAAGAGAGAGAATTAGAAAGGAATTTCTATTAAGGGTTTATAAATGAACTTTTGTTATAGAAAGGTTTTTGAAGTTCTAAAGTTGATTTGACTTGTCAAGGGTCTAATTAAGAAGTTAGAAGCAATTGAATGGAATTTGGAACATGTTTGAAATTTAGTATGATTCTTGAATTTCCATATGAAAGATGAAATTTAGAGGTTAAAGATGAGATAAATGAAATATTAATGAGTTTAAGTATGTATATGAAAGTTAGGAATATGAAAGGGGTTGAAATATGAAGGATTTAATCCAAAAAGAAGGAATTTTCGGGTTTAAAAAGAGGTTCTGGGCAGAGTGCATCGATGCATATTCATAGTGCACCGATGCATCAATGTTAAAACCCAGAAATTGTTTGAAGGTGTATCGATGCATTGGTAGTGCATCGATGCACTCTTTTAAAATAAATACATCGAATGCAATTTGTGCATCGATGCATAAGTAGTGCATCGATGCATCCCATTAATAAGGAAACATCGAATGCAATTAGTGCATCGATGCATAAGGCATGCATCGATGCATCCCAGTAATAAACAAACATCGAATGTATTTTATGCACCGATGCATCAGTAGTGCATCGATGCATACCTTCATTAAAAGATGAAATTGCCTTTTCTCTTAGTCTAAAGAGTGAACCATTAGAGTATATTAGTTATAATACTAATATAGATCTATGTATGATGATGTAGATATAGAACGTGATCCCGTTTCGGATCAATTGAAGAATTATAATCGAATCAAAGCAAAGCTAAGGTGAGTGCATCTTATTTTATAGAATTATATGGAAATTGGACTTGTGATAAGTCTATTTCCTATAGTTATAGTGCATGAAGTCTTGATTATAAGTATGTGAATGACATGAAATGTATGTATGCTTGATTATATGTGTTGACATGTTTTTGTATGTAATGATATTATGACAAGATATAAGATATGCGACAAGATATCTGTAATACATGAAAAGGTGATATAAGTTGTGTAATAAACCATGTGAATTGATATAAATAATTTGGAGAATAAATAGAAAAGTGGGATAAAATAAGTAGTATTTACTTATAAGGTAAAAGGAGATTATATGAACAGATAGTATTGATAGGTCACATAAGACTACATGTCCATCTTTTAATGTAATAAAAGTGTATATGTGAAATGACATGATAGGTGATAAAAATCGTGAGCCTATATGAATATGTGATATATGTGATGTATGAGAAACATATGAGAACAAGATATGACAATGATTTACATGTCATATGAACACCAGAGAAGTGTTATTTCCTATAATTATAGTACATGAAGTAATAAATTTAAATATGTGAATGACATGATTTGTATCATGTATGAATTCATGAGTAAAAACATGTGTGAATATGATTTGTATGCATTATGTCATGTGAACATAAGAGGACAGAGCATAAATTATATGATATGAGATATATGAGAAAAGGTACATGTAATATGTGAATTATATGTTTATGTGAATATGTGATATGATATGAGATTCATAAATACATGTTTATGAGATATATGTTTACACACACATATGGTATGTGACAGAAGAGAATGAACATGTGATTATAAGATCAATGATTACACGTACATTTGGTACGCGACTGAAAAGAAAAGATATATGTTCATAAGAGAAAGGATATGAATAAGTAAATTGACTGTTATAAATGATAATGCCCATGTTATATGATAAGAGAGCTAGTGGTATAGTTGGTATGCCAAGAGTCGAGAGTATACCTATGTTCTAAGGAACATATGGACAGAATTACCTATGTCTTTCGAGACATATGGACAGTATACCTATGTTCTAAGGAACATATGGACAGTTTACCAAGGTTCTTCGGAACCTATGGACAGTTGCCGAGGATCTTTATGACCTCTGGATAGTTACCGAGGATCTTTATGACCTCTGGATAGGTCCTTCGGGCTCATTTATATGAGTTGTGGTGACAGCATAGTGGTGCACAACCTCAATAGACTCACATATCTACAATTCTCACAGGTGCACATGGGCTAATAAGAGATAACATGGAATGTACTGTATATGATATATGTGTGTGTTAGTGATTATTGTATATGCTATAAGATATATGATATGAGCTTAATTGATCATGTAAACAAGAGAATAGAAATATGAAAGGTGATAATATGATAATGATAGGAAAGAAGATAATTATATGTATGCGTGGATATGTATATATATATATATATGAAAGGTGCATAGTAGGAATTATTACATGTATATGTGGGTATGATGCTTGTATGTGATATGTTAGTAGAAATTGTTCAAGTATGATTATGAGTTAGAGTTTTATTATATGTTTTACGCCTCACTAAGTCAACGACTTAGCGTGTGATTGTTTCACACGTAGGTTACAGAAGTGAGAAGAGTAAAGAGCTAAGAGGAGCAAGACAGGTCAGCATTTTCCTTATAAAGTTTCAGATCAGAAAATAGATGATTTAAATGTGTATGGTTAATCTGA